TTACGTGCCTTAAATATAGAAGAATATTTTAGAGATATTAATTAAGTAGATTATTTTATCTCCAATCTTGATAATCGAGAAATATCATATTATTATTCGACTAGTCTATCTATATAATAGAAAAATTCTCGCTCATATATTGATTCATTATTTTCAAATAAATAATCTTTTTAGAAAAGAAATTAATATATTTATTATGAATATACAAAATTTATAAAATTCTCATAATCGAAATATTTGCAATATTTAATATAATAAATCTTTCTAATAATCTAAATAAATTTAAAATTAAAAAGCTATAAAAATATGCTTATATCACAAATAGAAATAATCTATATTATTATTTATAAAATTTCAATCGTAATCTTCCTCTATCAATAATCTGAATAATGATATTCATAATTAAATATTCAATAGATCAATAATAATCAAATAATATTGAATAAGATTCTTAATTCCTTTTAACGATCTATTCCCTCGCCCGCCCCCTCTCTCCATCAAACCTCCATAGAGAATATTAGACTTATTTTGCTTTTCAAAAATATTCATAAATTATTATATGAAATATGAAATTATTATATCAATATATTGATATTTAAGATTTACCGATTTAGAATCTAACTTTTTATCATCCACTTAACAGCAGAAGTAGTAATAAATATAATACTAACCATAATAGTAATAGTATTAATAATAGATAATATTAGTACTATTCATAATAATAATATAATATCAATATCACTCGTAATAATAACAATATAAATAAGAATATCGCTTTTGAATTTCCCTTATTATTTTTTTTATCTTTCGTAGCATCCATCCAATCAAGAGCCTCACATATCAATATTCTAATCCCTATAATTATATATCTATATTTTTATAGAAATTTAATATTTAGCTTAATATTCTATATATATGAAAATTAACATTTAAGTTAATAAGACTGATACTAACTACTACTAATACGAGTATTTATTCTAATGTTGTCATTACTACTGGCACTAATACGAATATAATATTAGCACTAATACTACTTTATGCTTCCCAATATTAATATGAATACTTATATTAAATACGGATAATGATATTAATACTACCACAAAACTAATACCAATATTAACATTGTTTCAAGAAATAAAGACTATTTCAAACATAAATAGTGGAGTTATTGACTAGAACTAAGATCAAAACTGAGTCAAGACTAAGATCAAGCTTAAGATCAGGACCAGGAGTGTTGCGCCATGAGTCGTGGAATGGTGGTCTCGGTCTTCGGGTGGTTCCATAGACGTCGGAGGGCTCAAGCTCGATACCCCGGAAAAAGCACAAACACGCCGGTGGAAGCGATGTTTTGAATTGGATGGTCTGTCATTGGGGGGGGGTGAACATATATATATATATATATTGAAGTTCTCTTGCATTCTCGCATTTTTTCGAAAGCTACTGCTGGGACCTTACTTTGTGATAACATGAATGTCGAATCATCGGTTGTAGAAGGATTACTAGGTTGGGCGGCAATGTAATAAGATCGATACTTGATATATAACTGAAACATGCAAATCGCTTTTTTCAGTTGCAACTTCGACGCTGCCACGAGTCTGTAGAAAGTCATAAAAGCAATAACCGAGAGAATCCAAATCGAGACTCAAGCAACCGGAGTATCATTGTGCATGTGCCACGAAGCTAGTTGGCCTTCAACGCTAAACACACCCGATGCCCTGAATGTCCAGAGCCTGGCAAAGACCTCAGGAGTTCAACACAGCCTGCAAGTCATCGACGAACATCCCCCTGGACCAAGGCACTCCAGATTTCCGTGAACATGCTAGATCCCCAATCGGCACAAGAAACAGCACCACCTGGCCTCGTGGGCTCTTTGATCACGTCCTGTGTTGTTGCGTGCAACACGGGGGAGCGAAGCTAGGCCAGCGAGTGAAACGAGGAGGGGGCCGTAGCGTTTCAAGCAGAGCCCATCAAAGCTGTGACAACGCAGGCCTCCAAGTCCTTCATGTAAGCCATCGGACCCCTGGCGAACTTTATCCTGAGCAAGGCGGCCCGGGCTCAATGTGTAGAAATTTCGATTTATGTTGTGCCAGCTGGCATTGGAGGAAGTAGATGTCTGAGATACGAACTTCTCACGCACTGCTCCAGGAAATAGCGGCGTGAGGATGGATACCAACATGCGGGCCAGCCACCTGGGCTGCCCCGCATGCAATTTAAGCTCCGAGCCAACGCTGTGCACACGGTGCGAGTTTCAGCATGACTCTGCAAGTGCACTGTTGAGACCCTGGCGGGAGATTCAGCAAAACAGTAGGGCCGGAGTAGCCAGGATACAGTGTCACAGCCTCGCTGCGGCGTGGCCAAAGCGACTACACTGCAGCGGGCTCTGTTTCTGGGAGCCCCGCTCGCTTCGCAGAGCCAGTCAATGCGTTCTGGAAGGACTGATCCTTGCAGATTTCTGGCTCAACCAGCTCAGCAGCACGAAAAGCTCAAGGGCCGAGGGGTGGGCAGGAAACTTGGAGACTCCCGTCAAATCGTTTGCAGAGATCAGCCTGCAAGATTCACTCTCATCGAATATAGAACTCATGGAAGATCGAGGTTCATGTAGCCTGCACACATGCCCTGTGTTCCGCGTGCGAAACTCTGCCATTGCCGAGTTCACCTCTCGTGCCTGCAACAAAGCGCAGCGACGACCATGCTATGAGCTGTCAAAACGGAACCCTCGCACAATGCCCGGGCAGCCGGCATAAATGAAGAATTCAGTCATCTCCTGGAGTTGAAACAGCCGTCTTCAAGTCAAGACACCCCAACTCAGAGGGCGCTCGCATCACTCCTCTTCCGTCACTTCCTTCATCAAGGCCTCGCTGTCCTGGTTCTAATGCTCAAGCGCAGTCGAGCGAAGCACATCCAGCAGAAAGCATTGGTTCCGCAGTATACTGTATCTTCTGAATCTAGTCAAGGTGTCGCGATTGAAGCCGAAGCATTGCAACCAAGGATCAATTGTCGAAGCACGGATGCAGGTGACGAGATCGCCGACCTGTCCCAAAGCTTCACATGAGATGCTCTGCATGATAGATCAACCTCCAGCATGGACGTCTAAGTCTAAGTTGAGATGCTGCATGCCCGTCATGCACGCCTTGGTGCTCACCACCACCATCTGTGAGGGGGTGATGTACTTTGAGACCTGCAAAGTTGTGCCGGTCATAGGATCTGACAGTTCTGCAGGCTGTCAGAACGCATCTCGAATCTCTCTTTTCGGTTCCAATCGAAAAGTTGTCCCGCTGCACAAACTGGATCGACCTCACGGGAATAAGTTGCTTCAACAATTCCTCTCATGGCTTTGATTCCATTTCTGTGCCCTGACATGCCACAGGCAAGCTGCCGAAAGTGAAAGCGGCACCCGTCTGTGCTCCTTGGCTCGCTTCTGCCGAACGCACAACAGCGGCCCAGAGTTACGTGCGAGCGTCCTGTGTCGCCACGAGCGTGGGTTGGCGCGTGTGGGGAGGGCCGGCGTGCGTGGGCGGGTGGGTGCGCCTGCCCACCAACCTACACACACAAGGAGACACACGCTCAGGCGCTGTCTGCATTGCTCCGTTTCAGCGATTACGGCAGCAACTTGAACATTTGGAACTCCGAAGGCATACCAACTCCGAGGACCAGTGTACATTTTCCAGGCCCGAACATCCAACGTCATTGACCATGAACTACTTCCGAACACGAACCAACCTGCACCACCTTGCGTGAAGCAGCTTGAGAGCGGCTTAAGGATGCACAAACGTGCCTTGGCTGCGTGCGGTGCGGCCTCAGCAGATGTCGGAAAGAACGTCTGCTGACTGCACTTCCACGCACGACGATGTTTGAGATGAAGGCATCCAGCACTGGCTTGTTGTCCCAACCACCACCTTCTTGCGCCTGTCGAACGATGGCCCAAGGGTGTGCTTAACATCAGCATGGATCAACAAGAACCTTTGCAAAGCAACTCGCAACAAAACTTCAGCAAGTAGCAACAAGCGCCGCGAGTCTCTCTTTTACTTGTGACCCGGCAGCGCGGCTGTCCGCCAAGGATGTCCTGGACAAGCTGCATTCAGGGGAATGCAGGTGGGACAGCGAGCCCAGCGGCAGGTTTTGGGAGTTGCTGAGTAGCTGCATCTACGACACGGCAGGGAACATGGACCCCCCGTCGGCTGCAACAGCTCAGTTTGCAGCCCTCTCCTCCAGCGACCGTTGAAGCAAGCGCCTACTCGGTAACGATGATGTAACTTCAGGCGCACATATGACAAGCTTGGGTTCGGAACCCGGCCTGGCTGGATTCGTGATGGGCGTCATTTTGGAAGCTTGACCCTGTCAGATTTCTGTGAAAGGTTGCTGAGCCTATGTATGCCCTCGCCGATACTTGGGCAACCGCACGAAACAATCGGACAAACTCCAAGCCGGCGAGGCGATGGCACCACTCCTGCGCCGCTCCTGCACTTGTGAACGCTGTCTCCTATGGAGCACTGGGGATGTCAGAAGCCCTGTCCTAGAGACAGCAGGGCGGCGGTTACGAGCAACGACGCATAGTAGAGGTATGACCACCACGGATAGTCCAGCGACGGCGGCTCGACGTGAATGCTGGGCAAAAGCTCGACATCATCTTTGCTCTCCTGGTCCACCCGGGCTGGATTCAACATGATCCAACAACTGTTGCATGTACTTCTTTTTTCGTGACAGTTTCATGTGAAAGCACATGAGGTCACAGCAGTCCTTGGGGAGATCCCGGGGCTTGACTGCCACAAGCGATTCTTGCTGAAGCCTTGCTGTCGGAGCAGTAAAAGTCTTGGAACCCAGGGCAGGCGCACAGGCGCTGCATTCGCTGGAAATGCTTTGTCCAGCGAAGACCTCGGTCGGCACAAACAACCACCCAGCGATTTTCTTGCTAGTCACATTCGTCGAAAGGCGGTTGAAGCCGCTGGTGCTGGCAGGTTTCTGGAAAGCTTTCCAGCCACTGCACGAGCTTGAGGCCATAAGAAGGCAAGCCATGCTTGCCACGCAGATCTGTCGTGAAGAGCTCCTGTCTTTGCCCCCCGAAGCTGCAACTCGGGACTGAAAGTCTACAACTAGCACCCACAAATACTGGTGACCCCACCCTCTGTCCAACGTGCATCGCCGACAAATACAAAATCCTAGCTGCGGCGAACCTTCACGGGTAAGAAATAATCGGATTTGCCGGACATCAGGTACAATACCTTGCTGCAGTGCTGCAATCACTTTCCCCAACAGGCGCAGGGTGAGAAACTAAGTGGTTGACAAAGCTGGGATGTTTGTTGTAGGACTCGAGCGTGGCCATGAGTTTCGATTCCCACTCTGCAGCGCTGTCTCGTTCCGTCATCATATTCGCCATGCAGACTGCGTTGTAGATCTTGATCCTGGTTGGGCAGCAGGCTCTCGGTAGGATGTCAGCAGGCAAGTGCGAAACAAACAGCTTCCATGTGAAGATGTAACATAGGTTGAAACCTCCCTGACCATGCGTTCATGCATGAATTCATGCACGCGTAAGGGCATTCATCTATGCAGGACAGTTGACAAAGAGAGGGAGGGATGGAGAGAGAGAAACGAACTGGTAAGCATCGATAAAGCGATACACAGATATGCACTTACGTGTCAGAGTGGGACATATATATATATATGTGTATACACATACATACATACATACATACATACCTACATACATGCATACACACACTTTTGGCACTCGCGCTCGACTGGGTCAGGCGAGGGTTCCAGGTGAATATACACACATTTACATATATATATATATATAAATACATATATTAACATACATCATGGATGCCGATGGCATCTGCGGGATCAAATTACGGATTGGTCTTCAAGCCTCTTGGGTGATGGGACCGGCTTCAATTCCACACTCTTACAGGATTGGCTCTTTGATATGTCCGAGAACTATCCCAAGCATTCCCAAACAAAAGCATGAAGCACACCAACGTCTTCAAACTGATGCGACCATCCCTGTGACTTCGAGAAGAACTCAGCCTGCATCTGGGCATGTCTGGGCCTTCCTCATTCTTCATCAAAAATCCCATTGGGCGCATTGAAGACGTGCTTCTCGTGGCATGAGCAAAACGTGCTCGACCAAAGCCATGTGAACCAAACGGCCTGTTTCTTCGCATCCTGCAGTAGTCGGGTGAAACTATGACATAGTTCCGTCAACAAGGCATTTTCGCATACGGAGCCAGTTGATCATTGCATGCTGACATTCATCATCACGGCAGCTGCATGGAGGGAAACGGGATGGGGCCGATGCAGAAACCTTGAAGCCAGCTTTCGTGTAGCACCTTCGTGCCTTCTCGTTGGTCTCCAAGACACTCAAGTTTACCTTGGCGAACGGCCATCCAAGGCCTCTTGCACGTCTCTCTGCGGCTTCAAGCTGAAGGCCGCCTAAGCCTGTGCCCTGGTGCCCGCGGTCAACCTTCCCCTGCCCGATCGTGAGCTCCTGCTCTTCATATTTCGCATACACGTAGCCTGAAACCATGTTTGTTGTTTGTGACACTGCCGTTGATGTGACTCCTCGTTCACATTAACGGCAGTGTCGCAAGCGACAAAGATGGTTGCAGGGCTACGTGTATGCGAAATTTGAAGAGCAGATTTAAGGCGCTTGCCAGCTCCTCCATACACGCCACATGCTTGTCCTCGGCGTTGTCATCCACTACCACACCCACTAGATTTGCTGCGTCCTTTGTAGTGAGGGTTTCGTACCAAGGCATTTCTGCATGCAGGTTGGCGTGGTCCACTGCAAACTCTCTTTCTGAACGTCGCAAGCACTTGGCGCAGTCCTTCACAGACTCGCACACCCAGTAATCCTCATTTTCCACCACAATACTGTGCTGACACTTGTCTATGATGGGCTCGTGCATACTATCTCCCGTCTGCCATTCAAAGATTGCGAATCGGCTCCTTGCTGCGGCACCACGACACGAGCTCTGAGGTGTTGGCGAAGGTCGAGGGCGCTTCCTAGTCTCCTGCACGTGCCGGCTCTGGCTTTCAAGAGGTCCCGTGGAGTCTGGTTACTTCGCTTAGATTTGACCAGCACTGAGGCACCATGCTCGATAAGGGGACGTTCACCACATCCATGTGAGAAGTGTTGATACCGTAAAAAAGGGCAGTCTCCCTCCAGCTGTCACGCCAGTTGACCTGGTATCCCAGGAACCTGACAATTGTAAGCCGCTGCGTAGAAGAGTGGTGTTTGCTGATTGAGGTCCACCTCCGCCAGATCAACGCCCATCAACACAGCGCGTCTGCCTAAAATCTCGCTCCCCCTGCATCCCCTGCGCTGTCGTGCTGCTATGAAAAACAACACATTCTGGCGAAGCTGGCTGTGACGCAAGCTGACGTCGAGCTTCGAAAGTGCCTCTAAGAGGCCAAAGAGGCACTTTCGAAGCCTTCGAAAGTGCCTCTTTGGCCTCTGTGAAGCTGCCATCACGCACCGCTTCGAACAGCTGATCTTGATTCATATCGGACAAGTCGCGAGCCCAAGAGTCTTACAGAGGTGGCTAGGACATGCCGGCTTGATCCGTAATCATGGGTTCTCGCAATCCCAACGGCTGTGATTCACCTCATCCCTCGAAGACACTTCTGAAAGACGCTCTTCTACAGGTGATCAAGCAAGCCAAGAGGCTGCATGGCGTCCTGCTGACTCGTGATGACAGAGAGTGCCACGTGTGGATAATCTGCTGCCAACTGGTGAAAGATGTCCTGGCGTCGCAAGCTTGGAACTCACTAGCCAGGCTGGGGCCGGCCAGATCTTACGTCTTCACGCGTCAGAACTACCGTTTGGCCTTTCCGGCGCAATTGTATTTCCGAGTCCGCTCTGCACTCTGGTGGATTATCCTGCTTTGGTCAGGGAAGACCTCCTTTGCTATGGACTTCCAGATGCGGAGGTCAGTGCATGTTTCTCGCACGTGCCATTTGAGTCTCCACCGTGTTACACACCGCTGTCGGGGAATCGCGGCTGGTAGGCACACGGACTTCAGTTGACGAGTTTGCATAGGTCGGTTTAGTCTAGAACTTGAGTGACCGAGGAATCTGAAGGACAAACCATCCGATGTGGACCATGAAAATGATTGTACAAACGTGGAGCACAGCTGCCAAGGCTTTCTGCCAGCCCCGAGCATCGAAAGAGTCACACGCACCTGACCCACGACCCAGCCAGGAGGAAGAAGCACACGGGAACCACAAACACATGAGGGATAACAGATCAGGAAGAACACCTACCTGCAAACGACGTAGCATGAAAGGCACTGGCACCTAAATGTGCACGGAAAGCACGAGAACGCGCAGGAGCACTCAGGGGCCGCTCACTATGTCGAAGTTGCAACCGCAGTCAGAAGTGTTGTCAGGTCAATATTCACTGTTTGCCTGCCGTCCTGCATGGTTAGCTGTTGAGATGTGCAAAGCCTCTGCAGGCCGGCGGAGTCGTCCAGAAGGCCGGACTTGCACAATCCGAAGCCTGCAGATGCTTCGTTCAAAACTAGCGGTGCCTTTGTTCCTTCAGGTACATAAACTCCTAAAAGTAGCAACACATGTGAAGGCGGACGGGCTCGTGTGAGCAGTGCGCTGTGCCTGCAAGAAGTGGACCCTGCGAATGCTCAGGGAAGATGCCGAGGGCCGAGTCACTGATCACCGCCGCGGATTGGTGACCTTCTGCTCTGTATCTTATATAGGTGTATATTAACGAGCGTGACAGCACTAACTCTGAGGAAAGAGCTGAAGCTCCTCAGAAGAGTCGCAGCCCATAGCTGGGCCCCCAAAGCACCAGTAGAAGATCCGGCGATGATCAGGGACGCTAGTCTGCCCGGGATGTTTCTCCTTCGCATTGCTCAGTTTGGCGCCGAAAGAGGCATGTATCATATACGCCACATCATGCCATATTGTGGAGCTCTGCGTGAACTGAGGGAACCACGGTCCTCGTCCACTTGACGGCAGACAGGACATTCAGAAACCCTCGCTGTTCGACTCGTTGACCAGCCCCATCCAGATACCATCTGACCACATTGCCTTACCGACGAAAGGGTTTTTGTTCAATCCGAAGAACTTCAGTCGAGAGGGCATGAGCATTAGATTCTGGAGGGGAGCACGGCAAGCTCAACCTGCGCTTCAAATCATTGCGAGACAAAAAGGGGCAGGCTAGCGCTTCATCGTAAAGCGAAAACTGCAAGCGAGAGGCCGATGTGCAAGTCACCGCTGCAGTAGTTGATGTGGACCTCTCAGTGCATACTCATTGCACTCCTGCATATGTAACAACTGGACCAGAGCACGTCTTGCGAAGAGTGGCACTAAAATCTTCAGACGATTCTACAATCATTAACCGTGCTCTACTGTAGTACAAGGATGCTGCCATATCGACATCTCGTTCCGAGGGCCGGGCGACCGTGTACTTGCGATACGGGTTTGCAGCATTGGTGCGGTCGAAAATCCCGACAAGAGGCTGCACAACCACATGGGACAAACAGGGCGCAGCCTGAACTCACACGCCCGGTGGATTGCGTGACATCTTCAAGTGCCCGGATCGAAAAGTTGGGCAATTCGCGCTACAGCATCATGCCAATAGATCGTCGAGACACTCCCTGGGTGCTTGCATCATTGAAACAGGCTCCACCACCCTGAAAGAAGATCAAGAGTTTGTTCGTGTCGCCAGGTATGACCTCGTGCAGGCGCTTGGTCTGATTCTCGCAACGAGAAGACACCATGTAGCGGCGGCTTCAAAGCACTAAAGCAGCTGGCCTGGAAGGCGTACTCGGACGCCACGTTGCTGAAAATGCAGCGACTTTGGCCGCCTGAAGTCTATGACCCTTTCTTGAACCCGTCCGAATTTAATGAAGCCTTTGTCTTGGCTTGAACAGGCATGACGACGCCATTTCCTCTCTCAACCGATGACAGTCTTACGCCCCCTGCAGTGCCTGGAAGTACTAAGGTACTGGAATCGAGCTCCATGTCGTGCAAAGGACAGCTGCCCTCCTCTAAGCGACATCTGGCTGGAGAGCCTCGGCAAGTCATGGACTGTCGCATCTTGGTCCTGGGCACTTTGTAGCTGCTGCCAATTCGCTGAGTCCAGGCTCACCCGATGCCAAGGCAGAAAACAGGAGAAGCACCCGATGTGCTCCAGAAGGCATGGCTGCAATGCGCAGCTATGAAGGAAGTGTTCAAAGCACCTGAACTAACCGACCCTGCGAAGGGGTTGGGGTTTAGGGCCTTAGGGCTTGTCCCCAAAAGGTCCATAAGGCAAGCTTCCTGTTTAGTTAAGATCTCCTTTAGGACTCATGTTTTCTGTTTTCCCAAGGATCTCTCGTTTAAAAGTACCTGTAGAGCAACCCCGATATCTAGGGCCACCCAGCACTGGGCTGTCTCGAAAGACTGTAGCATCTGTGCAGGCTCTTAACTGAGAGGATTCGCGGTTCAACATGATCCGCAGTTTGAGCAGCTGTTCTCGGGCAACTCTTGCCAGGTACAACAGAGAGAACTCGCACCTCTGCACGTCAGCAAATTACAAATAGGTTGCTTCCGCGCCTTGGCAATGGCATCTGCAGCTGCTTTGACTATGCCTGCACCCTCACCTGTCAATATGGGGGTTTCAGAAAAGAGGGGACCCTAATATAGTACCCTGAATAGTAGGATCCTTATTAAAAGACCCCAAAATAAGGTACCCATTANNCCATTATTTCGGAAACTCCCATATTGCACGCAGATGGCTCAGTGCGTTCTGCACTCCAACAAGCCCCGGTCTCTGCCTGCCCGCCACTCAAGGACTTCCTTGACCTGCAGCGCACCCGAAAGCTGCCCTATCCACTGAGTAGAGTCAGTAGGGCAATCGGAACAATGCGATGTATGTTTCTTTTCCCTGGGTCTTGTGCAACAAGAGCGATGCAAATAGGAGAAACCCGAAGCCAGGCAGTGTTGCGTTTGCTGCGGCATCGCTAGGTGAGTCTGGATGCTGTAGGGCATAGCCTCGGAATCCCAGGGTGTTGAGCAGTGTGAAAGTTTGCCATTGTCTAGAGCTCGGTTCGGCACGGAGGAGTTTGGTGTCATCGAATTCCTCTGGCAGATCCTTCGTTTGCAGAAAAACTTTGTGCCAGCTCAGCGCCTCGGTGGGAATGGAACTCCCGTCCTTGCAAAGCTTCCGAATCTCCGCCACCTGCACCGGGGCAGATCTGGCAGACCCCATCAACACTGTCTTGCGCCATCTTGCGAATCTAGCGCCTGAGGCGCAAATTTCTTGCTGACTGCGTCCAAGGACCAGTCCTCGACAAGCATCTTACCTCGTGTGTGTGTCGGAGACCTCCCGCCTGTAGGGCTACACGGGTCCTCCACCTCTTCTGCTTTCCTTCCTCAGCATGGCACACAGGTCAAATCGCGGCAAACTTGAAGTACCCCCACTACTACTACTACTACTACTACTACTACTACTACTACTGCCACTGCCACTGCCACTACCACTGCCACTACCACTACCACTACCACTACTACTACTACTACCACTACCACTTACCACTACTACTTCTA